ACTACTAACTCTTCATTTTTTTCTCAAGCAAAGGGAGATAGCTTGACTAAATTTTACAACCTGTTGATACTGTAGTAGTTAGCTTTCCTAGCTCTTTTTTTAAAACTCAGTCCGTGATAAATATGGCTGTAATTCAAGATCAAGTAATGAAAACGTCAAATATTTCGTAAAATACTTTCGCCACCAATTTTCAACAATCTTCTCAAAATATTGAAATTTTAAAATCTTTAATTGTTTTAAATGAGCTTTAAGTTATTATGAAATGCGGTGATCAATTTCTGTTGTATTTTACACTGTACAGACTATGTAGCTGTGCAAAGAGGTAAGCGAAGAGAGATAAACTAAACTAACCTAAATATTTTTTTGATTGACCATTCTTTCTTTCAAAGATGTAAAGAACCACTCCAAACATGTAAAGAACCACTCCAAACATGTAAAGAACCACTCCAAACATGTAAAGAACCACTCCAAACATATAAAGAACCACTCCAAACATGTAAAGAACCACTCCAAGATGTAAAGAACCACTCCAAACATGTAAAGAACCACTCCAAACATGTAAAGAACCACTCTAAACATGTAAAGAACCACTCCAAACATGTAAAGAACCACTCCAAACATGTAAAGAACCACTCCAAACATGTAAAGAACCACTCCAAACATATAAAGAACCACTCCAAGATGTAAAGAACCACTTTAAAGATGTGAAGAACCACTCCAAACATGTAAAGAACCACTCCAAGATGTAAAGAACCACTCCAAACATGTAAAGAACCACTTTAAAGATGTGAAGAGCCACAATAAAAGTGAAGAATAAATTGTTCTTCAAAACAAGTATAGAATTAATTTGCTGATTCTCAGTTTTTGTACTTTCCGTTATAAAATAATAAATTAGAAATAAATTTAATATCATGATTAAACAATTTTTCAAAGTATTTTATCTGAACGCGAGATTTAATGGACTGTCTAAAATAAGACTGACAACATACTATCAAAATATCATTTCCCAGGCGAGATTCTTCAGACGATTCCATTTGATCCATGAATATATTCCAGCTTTTTTTTTTTTTTTTGGAGTTTGGGGTTGCTGTTTTTTAAATCTTTGTAATCAAGGCGAGTTGAATGAGTTTCATCTGATTTGCCTGACACTCGTGAACTATTCTAACAACACAATTATTCGACATAATTCTTGCTTATTTGATCCATGAATATATTCCAGCTTTTTTTTTTTTTTTTGGAGTTTGGGGTTGCTGTTTTTTAAATCTTTGTAATCAAGGCGAGTTGAATGAGTTTCATCTGATTTGCCTGACACTCGAGAACTATTCTAACAACACAATTATTCGACATAATTCTTGCTACAGATTAATTTTAAGTAAAAACGAAAAACTCAAACAAAGAATTTGAAAACTGGAAAGAATTTGTGTGATGAACGACAAGACAAATTTCCATTTATTTAGATCAATAAAAATTATCCTATCATATATTACTCTTAATGTTGATATTTTAATAATCGGTAAGCTCAGGAAAACGTGTTTCGAAAGTTTCGTAATTTCTTTGTACAAATTGGGAAATATATTTGAAATTAACGTCAGTTGGACAAATTACAACGAACTTCATCAAATTTTAGCTTGAATACAATGAGCCAGAATAAAGTCTTATAAGAACTAAACATTCACAAGCCTTACATTTTTTTATATATATTAACCGCCTGTAACAAATGAGATAATTTGTTTTATATATATATATACTAGACAATATACCCGGCGTTGCACAGGATTGCATTAGGACCCCATCCTTGTGTGACCCCGATCCCATTGGAACCCTAATCCCATTCTGACACCGATCCCGGCACAGTCCCGTTTCCCTGTGTGATCCAGATTCCGGTGGATCCATTCCGGGTTAGGATCCCGATCCCAGTGGGATCCTATCCCGTTGGGATAAAGATTATGATGGAATCCCGACGCCTTTGGGACCCCGTATAAAAAATTCTTCAGTGGTACTGAGAGAACAGTTAACTCCCGGGCAGTATAAGAATCAATACAACTAACTAACATTTGAATAATCCCATAGATCCCACTAAATATTCCCTTGTAACAATTTAGAACTTTCTGGATTATTCTAGATTAAATTTAATAACCTTCTCAAAACATGTCTAAAAACTTCTTTTCTAATTATTTTTTTAATATGATAAAAATCCTTAACAAATGACATAATTATAATCCTTTTTCTTTTAAGTTAATAAAGGGGCCCCGGGGGGGGGGGGGGCTTTCCATAACTGTACCGATTTAGTTATGCCTGAGATAGGGGGCCCTATAAAAATCATTCTGATACATAATAACGTTAAAATTTAAAATTTGTCCCATTAAAATCTACTTAAAAAATGCCATAGATATAGCTTTTTAAAATTATCGAACTTTCTGGAAAATTCTAGATTGGATTTTATTAGTTTTAAATCCATTGATATTTCAATACGGACTAAGAAGCGTAATGAGTAAAGCTAGGTTTAGATCCATAAATTCACATAGAACCTATACCGTTGACTAACCCTATTGATATTCATACAGCTTATAGAAGGAAAATTGAACTTGGGCCCCCGGCCCCAGGGAAATGGATATTATGAGTTCAGTACCCTTCAGTATTTGAATATGGATAATAAAGTATATGTGTACTAAGTTCGGCCAAGATACATCGACCATTTAGGAGTATTTGTTGTTAATTTTATTTATATAGCTCATATTAGGAAAAAAACGAATTCGGGCCCCCGGCCCCAAACGACTTGTTATGAAAAGTCGATAATCCCTTAAGAGAGTCTTCCAAATAATGATGGATATAAGTGCCAAGTCTGGTCAAAATCCATCTAGCCGTGTAAAAGCCTTTGTGGAACAAACCCACAAACAAATCCACAAACAAATCCACTTTCACTTTTATATATACATTGGCACCTCTCATAACGAGCACCTCTCATAACGAGTAATTCGCATAACGAGCAAAAAAAATGTGAAGAAGTTGCTCCCTTAACGAGCGATATTTCGCATTACGAGTTAGGCATAAATGGGAAGTCCATTTCTTCTGACATTCTTTTGTGAGTCAGGGCTTCCGAGCCGATGTATTAGTCCAGCGGTTCTCAATCTGTGGGTCGTGAGCCCTTTGGGTTGAGCGCGGCCCTTTCCCAGGGGTCACCTTAGACTATCTGAAAACACATATTCTTACAGTTATGATGGCGCTACGAAAATAATTAGGTTGCTGGGAGGTCGCCAAGACACTAGAAACTCTATTAAAGTGTCACGGCATTAGGAAGGTTGAGAACCATTGCATTAGTCCGTGTTTAGCCCTCGGTCTGTTAGCTTATTGTTTTCGTGTGTGATCACCAGTTTTTTACAACTTTTGTATTCAGAAAGTATTCGTAATTTGTTTATGTTCAAAGTGTAATAACCTGTGCTTAAACGTATTCGAAAAACAAAAACACAAGAAGACAATCATAAAAGAGAAAAAATAACTGTTCAAATAAAACGTAAATTCATTGAAAAGCGAGAGCAAGGTGTGGGCGTGGCTATTCGTGCTACACATTTATTCCATGATAATGCTGTGACACATTTTCGTCAAATTTTGAAGCGTCGGCAAAAACCAATGTCTTTAGACAGTTTTCTAGTTAACAAGGATTCATTATTTGTCATAAACTCAAATTTTATTTACGTTATTTTGTTTCAAATCTAAATTGTATTCCAAGTTGTTACACTCCTTAAGAATTCATAAGTAATTTTATTTGAATAAATGTTAATTTTTTTTTTTGAAAAATGAGAATTTTTTCAGCATGGAACGCATTATCGTATTTTACATTGATTTGTATGGGTAAAATTGTTTCGTTTAACGAGTGTTTCGCTTAACGAGTAAGAGTCGGAACGAATTAAACTCGTTAAGAGATGTTCCATTGTATATATGATATATATAAGCCGGCAGCTTTCCTAACAGGACAAACGCTTTTACTATTTTCCCTCGATTTTTTATTTTTTCACCTACATTTTTGCAATATTGGGCTTATGAACAATACTACTTGATGTTTTGTTTCATTTTGTTGTAGCATGCAACACGTTCTTACATTTGAATTTGTAATTTAATAGCAAGGAGCTTAGGCGACACCCAGTTTATTTGTTTTCATGGGTAAAATTTATCCCATTAAAATCTACTTAAATATAATATTTTTAAATGCGTTTCTACCTTTTCCTATAATAAAATCTTAACATTAATTTAAATAAAATTAATGGCTTATATTGTGGTTCACAGACGTAAAACATATTTTTGTCTAAATATATATTTTCATTGGTTCTGATTTTTTTTCAAAATCTAAATTCATGCAGTCTTTTGTAGGAAGAAAACTATTCTATTAAACTACAATCTATAATCCTACAAAAATGCAAATGGAAATTAAATACTCTAAGAAAATAATGAGTCACAGTCCAAAGCTTTTTATTTCACATTTGATAGGAAATTTTTAATGTGTTTTGCTCTGTGCTAACAAACGTTTTACTGTTTCTTGTGTTATAGTAGTAGTTGTTGTATTAGGAGAAGTAGTAGTAGTGGTAGTTGTGGTGTTAGTTATGTGGTAGTGATTGTGGTGGTGATAGAAGTAGTACTTTTTTTAAATCACATTTCATTTATATGTGCGGTGTTCAGCATATTTCACGTGAACATCTTTGGCTTGGCCGTCACTGGTTTAGATAATAACTTAAGGTTTACCCTAGATTTATTATGATGGGAGAATGGACTTAAGAAATCGTTTTAAATATTTGAGAAACACTCGGCTGTCTCCGTCAATGGTGTGCGCTGTCATCCCCTTCCTTTAAGATATCGATGCTCTCTAGGTCTACACAATGGTTGTGTTAATGTTTGCAAGTTCATCAATTACCTGTTGGAAATAACCATCTTTTAACTTCTGCTGGTCGAATTTTATAAACCAACATAAAACTTCATGCTCAAAACTAATTTACATTGCCCTTATCAAACTACACACAGCAGAGTATTGTTTTGCATGACCTAGCAAACTTTGTGTTCATCGTGAGGTAGAGGAAGAAATTGGCCGCACCAACGATCTGATAGAGAAGTGTCGTAATTAACTGCGTGAGGTAAACAAAGCTGTTTGAAATATCCCGACCGTCTGGCCCATACCTCACGTACATCTCCACAATGGCCGTGGGTAGGCACACGATCAGAGTAACTATGGAAACGGCCAACAGCAACTTAATCACCTTAAAGCCCTTGATGTTTTGCGGTCTCGATTTCGACGCGGTCAGCGCACTTTTGGATATGCGGATCATTTTGAAGCTGATCATCGCCGAACACAAAACGACGATGGCAAGCGGAACCGTGTACAACAGATGACTGAAGATAACGGTGCTGAGAAAAAGGACTAGTTCGTAATTGTTCTGGTGAAACTCGGATAACACAAGTGTGAAAAACGTTTCGTTGTTTGACAAGTTTGTCAAATAAATCATGTTATGCGTGAAAGCCCAGATGATCATGTCTGAAAAATTGCAGACGTAAATTAAAACCAAGATGATTTTTATCCGCAGGGGAGTGAATAGTCTCGAAACGTGGAAAGGGAAATAAACAGCTATGGCTTTCTCAACGGCGATAACAGCTACCGTGCACAGGCTCACGGTTAACGACATCTGATTCCAGTAAAAGAAATACATTCCGTTGATCACGTTTAGGGTCTGGCCAAGAGCTCGGTCAAACATCAGGGCGATGCAGCCAACGTTGTAGAACGAGTCGGTCAGGAAGTAAATGAGATCGGAGACTGCAAGCGATCTCATCATGGTGCTGGTTGTATCCTTGAACCCGTGATGCGCCAGCACAACGATGATCATGGTGTTGCCGAAGATCCCAACCAGCGACAGCAGCAGGGAGATGTAGCCGTTTAAAATGATTTGTAATTGAATGAGGAGGTCCCAGCTGATGACGTATTTAGAAGACGGCCGGTTGAGAAAGGGCTTGATGGGTGTCACAAATGACGTCATCAAGCTGAAATATGGCGTAGCCTCATCACTGGAGTTTAATGTCATTCTGTTAGTTGTTAAGTTCTTTTGCGAGTTTAATTTTTAATCACGTTAATTTCTGATAAAATTAAGGTTACTGGAGTGAGCGAAGTAAAATCTCAATAAAATATATTTTAAATCAAAACTTGCATATGGAGGATACATATATAAGAATTGTTTTATTAGTAATCTTCATTTCTCTTATTCTTAGCACCCAGAGTCAAAGCGTCATAATTTTTAAATTTTTTGACGATGGTCCAAGGGGTACTACTCAACTCTTTTATGTGGATAATTTTCTTACAAATAAATGTAATATTTACTTCACTATTTGTTTTCTTGTTATTTCACAAACTTATCCCATAAGATCAATTCTTGCCATGTTAATAATCGCTTTGGTTACATAGTATATCTTTGATTAAGAATTTTTTTTGCTATTTTTTAGAACGTGTCAAAAAAAAGTTACTTTTAAAACCTCCCAACCTGGTATCATCCTGTCATGGAAATGTCAATAAAAAACACGATTAACGTGGCCCTTTCGGTGGGGGAATCTTAGAAAAATGTTAATTTGATGTTCACAGGGAAAGATATTCGTATTTTTAACAACGTTCATAATACATTTAAGATAAAGAGTCATGGCATCATAGGTGATCATATGACTCCAATGTTGTCTGTTGCAATGTTGCCTGATCAATAAGAGGTTTTTATTTTAATTAGTGATTTAATTGTAACGGGATCTAAGCCACGTGACATGACAAGGCAGTGTCAACATCGCATAAACAGTTGGACAACACACAGAATAAACAATAACCCCCAGTAGACGAAGTAGTTAAACAACATAATGATCCACCACACAGAATAGATAATAATTACAAGACAGAGAAAGTTTTATATCAAGCACTTGTTAGGTAGCGGATCAAAGTATTTGTGTCAGTTATTAGCTCACAGTACTTGTGTCTGTTAGTAGCTCAAAGTACTTGGTAGGAAGTAGCTCTACCTTCAATAATTTTTAAAAATCACGCCAAACTTTGTTTGTTTTTTCTGTACTAGATAACAAATTTCAATTATAGAAAACTGGAAGTGAAAATTATTGATTGAAATCTCAATGAACTATTATTGCACTCTGTGTAACCAGTGACTCTGTTTCGAGGTAAAACGATGCCGTACATTTATAGCTACCATTCTTTCATTGATTATTAATTTCTACAAACTTAACAGCATGAGCAATGATAGTTTCTTCTTGCAGAAAATTGGAAGAACATTTTAGAATAATTTTAACGGTATTAAAAAGTATTTGAATGAATTATTAACATTTTTGCCATAACACTGTAGAGCTTCAAAAATTTGAGATTAGTATAGTTTGTTCTATTACTGCTAACAGTTGATTTTAATACATTTATAAATGCCACAGAGGCTAGATTTCAACTTATATATTAAACAATTTTCCAAGGATCGGTGGTAAACTTTGTTAAGACACCAAACACCAAAACTTAATTTTTTTTTTTTTTTATAAAAACAAATTGAAAGTAATTCTCCAATAACTTTTAAAAAAAATATTCTAAAACTACATGAATTATAAGTGTTTAGAGGGCATTTTAATAGAATATATATATATATGAAAATGAATGCATTTTGTAATGACATATTTATTAGTTAATTACGCTGATCTTTATACTTTTTAGATTATAAACATAAATGCAGATGGTACAAATACATAAATAACTATTCTGGCAACAAAATAATACACGTTTCAACATGTATTATTTCAAAATTTAAAAGAGCGTGAACAAAAAATAATCTAAACACATCATTTCTGATAAAGCCTAAAAAAATGTTTTGTGGATTTCCCAAAATCAACTTTACAAAGTGTGTCATATTTTAGGAGGTGAACAGCTTATTGCGTTACATTCCTAACGTGTAAAGTGCAGAAGGTTTTGTCGAGGCAAAAATGTATATGACTTTTGCCCTCACTTGCTTAATACTTGTTACAGGAAATTTTGAATGATATTTGGGCAATCAAAATTGTTTCGACGGAAGTTTGGTCGAGCAGAAATTTGAACTATATATTTTTTTTTTCTAAAAGCTGTTTTTTGAGAACTTTGTTGGAATGGTAATTATGTTCAAACGACACTTTGTTCGAGACTTCTTTTTGTTTTAAAATAAATGTTGTTAAGTCTAAGACTTGCGTGACCGCGTGAGAAGATCTGTTCCAATGGACACGTGTCGGGATGTCGTTTATTTCTAAACTGAAAATACTGAAAAGAGTTGTTAGTAGCCTACTTAATTAATTATTGATAAATGAACGTATTAAGTAAAATTGGCAATACCACCACTAATTTTCTTTTTTAAAGTGTGTATAGTATTGTGACGTTTTTATTAAAATATTTAGAATATCCGAAAAGCAACCTGACGATACAACTTATTTATTGCGAAAACTTCAATAAAAAACATTTATGTTCATTCAAGTAACTGACGAATTGTAACTGCTAAAGGTCTATTTTCAGTTGTAACATCTATTTGTGCTATAACTAAACAAAACAAAGCACTATCATGCAGCTGATAGCTTCAAAACGGAAGCAAATATTTGAATGGAAAATATAAAAAGTGATGCTGTAACTACTTGTGACTCTCCTCATTATATTTTGTCTATAGCTCCATTGAATTTAACCCCTGCCACGAAAGTTAAACTACCTTCATTTGAAACTATGAAAAGAACATCAGAAATTATTTATTAAAAGACACTTCTTTTTTATCCCTTTTCATAAGAGGGACTTCAGAGTCATACGTGAATATATTTTTACTGAGAATGGCGAAGACTTATATTGTTGGCTCTGGGCTTGTAGATCATATAATTTTTTATATATGTTAACCAGGATTAATATGCGATTACTGTCAAGCTAAAGAAAACTGGTATGCTGATGTGATGGTACTTTTAAAAGGGTACCAAACTTTATTTGAACAACTGAATACAATAAATGGCTTACGTGAACCGCCTGCTGTGCAATAAGTTTATGCACTTCTTCCAAACAAAACAGTACAATGTTATATACAGCTTTTAGAGTTATCAAACGTTTGGAGCCTACTTGTTTTTCACAAATAATTATGGTAACTGTTATAAATATCAAGTTACCTCAACCAATTACTCGAGGATTCCTTTTTTCCCTTCTGCCAGTGTATCTATAGAAATTCGCAAACAAATGGCTTGAAGCTAGATTTTAACTCTGACCCAGATTTTGCCTTAAGAATACAAATGCTTTCTGCTTGAATATTTGTGCCTGCTGCCTACACATGTGGTTGAGTACGTTCATTTAATTTGCAACAGAAATATTTTCCTCCTGAAGCTGAAGTAATCATTAATTTCTTTAATGACACATGGATCGGTTGACCTAATCATAGTCACCGTCGGCCACCCCCGATTCCCCCTTCATATGTCACAATGTGGAACTGCTTTGATGCGAGTCAGCAAGATTTGCCGAAAACCAACAAAAACGCTTGAAGTTTGGCCTAGGGGCTTTCAGAACCAAGTTTGCGCTGATCACCCCAACATTTGTCAATTTACAAGAGCCATCAACCGTGAGCAAAGATTGAAAGAACTTCTTATTCAACTATTCATTACTGGTCCAGAGACTCCAACGGAAAGATAACAATATAAAGATTCACTAGAAATACTAATCGGTATTGTCAATTCTTTTGAAACCAATATTTAAGCTAGGGACTATTTAGGTAGAAGAGCGCATATTATTGCCAACTAATTTTTGACATTTAATTAAATGAAACAATCACCATAGAACTGTTTTCTTTACTTTGTGTGTGAGCACTCTTATTATTTCTAAGGAAGCGAAAAATATTTTACTCTGTAAATTTGATTAAGTGATACTTAACTAGGTAGGCATATTATAAATATTTGTAATTAGTTTAACTTTATAATTTAGGCCTCTTTGACAATACAGGTGTAAAATGGCCTGACTTAGGACGAGAAATGCATTCATGATAAAAATGAAGTTGCTCTTTTTTAGGTCTGGAAGAAATTTAGTAATTTAAATGAAATTATTGTCTATAAGAACTTATTTCCTGTAAAGGAAGGAAGTGTCCCTATTGTGTATTCTTTTCTAAAATCACTCCATAATACAATATGTGACATGATTTTAATTTATTGTAACATTTTTGACATTGATAAAGATGTCTTTCATCTTGCTTATGTGTTTTACATGTTGGAACACTAGAAACATTTTATGCATTGTTAATTTTTAAATTACTTGTCTAAGGAAAACCCATGTTCAACTAGTCTAAAAAAAAGTGTATCTTTATTATCTGAGCTGTGCCACTGTTTTGAAAGGGATTCAAATAGTGTCCCCAGAGCCTGGTTTTTGATTTGTATTTAGTACGCCTGAGATCTAAAATTAAATAATGACAAGAGTCATCTGTCAACCATTTACAATAGGAGTTTTGGCTCAGCATAATGAGAAACCACAAAAAATAACAAATAACAATGATGATATAAATGAAACCTTTGGATTGTTTTTGACTTGAATTGGAAAGAATAGTTAAGTTTTTAGCCTATCATATTCATTTTCACTTAAGTGTGAAATAACCTCCATCAAGAGAATCAATGTTTTCTTCTTGATTTATTTAATTTAATTTTTATTTACAAAGTTTAGTCAATATAAATCTTATAATGAGTAAAGAGTAGTTTATCACAAAATTTAACACAAGGCTACATTTTTGTACATCCTCATTTTCATTAAATGCCTAAAGTAATGATTGTATCATAATCTATGTGTTGAAACACTGACTGATACTGAATGTCTAGCAGCTGATAAATAGTCCTTTCACAGTGTTCCAAAAATTAAACCATGCAACTAAAATAT